GTTTATACACTTAAATCAGATCATTTGATTCTTGATACGCCAGCAATCGTTGTTGTCCCTGAGGAAAAGAAACCGAAGACTGAAAGAACGACTATGGAAGAAGAGACGACCACTATTGAAGTTTCCAAAGCACCTGTGGTCGAAGAAGTAGTTGAAGAGGTAATGTATTTTGGCGTAATAATGAGCTCGAATAGTGCTTCTTAGCTTTTTTGATGAATGAATATACTTTTTGACATTTTATTTTTCTGAAACTGTTGATTCTCTTTTGATTACAGATTGTTGAAGAAGCACCAAAACCAACCGTCAAGGAACCAGAAGTCCCTGAGAAAGTAGTTGAAGAAGAGACAGTGACTGTTGAAATAAAAGTAATGTATCTGAATTCGCATTGTTGATACGATAGTTGTTTTGGTTTATTCTAGCCGGTAGACATCGTTCCTGAACCGATTGTTGAAAAACCTACCGTCGAAGAAGTATGTCTATTGGATATTCTTGTTGATCCTTCATTCAATTTATTTCTTTTTCAATTCAGGTTCCTGAAGAAGAAGAAAGAACATATCGAAGTGAAATTGAACTTGCAATTGTTCGTGTTCCAGCAGGTGATACAATAACAATTCGTATACCTGATTCAAAAACCATAGAAACAAATGAAATAAATGTTTATATAAATAATCAACCTGTAACAACATTGAACAATGAGGATAGTCGTATTACTATTGAAAAAGATGGTGAAACTGATAATTATGTTGTTCTATCGGATGCTAAACCTGAAGATACTGGTCGATATACTGTTGAATTCAATGGAAAATTACAACCACTTTGTATGCTTGAAGTAACAGAACCAAGATTGAAAAAAACCGAAGCTCAAATACCAATAAAAGAAACTGTCGTCGAAGAAGTTGTCGAAGAAGAAGAGGAAGTTACACCAGCAGAAATTCCAACATATGAAGTTGTTGAAGGTAATAGTGTTAATCTCAGAATTGAACAACCAGCAGGTACAAATATTAAACAAATATTTTTGCTACAAAATGATAAAAAATTGGAACCAAATACTCGTTTGAAAATCAAACCAACATCATCAACAACTATTGAAATAACTTTAGAAAATGTGAAACCAAATGATGAAGGTAGTTATTCAATTCAATTTGGTGATCAACCAAGTCAAAAATTAATGATTTTGAGAGTTTTACCAAAACCTGTTATTCATGATTCTCTTCATTTACCAAAAGATGTTTTTGAAGAAGGTGAAACATTAACTATACAATGTGAATTTGATAACAGACCAGAAGAAACTTTAGTTTGGAAACTAAATGATACTCCATTAAATCCGCTTATCGATGAGAGAGTTACTATTGAAGTAACAGATGATGGAAAATCATACACTTTGACAATCAAAGATTTGCGACCTAAACAACATGAAGGAGTTTATAAACTTGAAAGTCCACATTTAGTACTTGAAACATCATTTATTCGTGTAATTCAGAATGTTCAAGAAGAAGAAGAAGAGACAACTATTTTAGTCGAAGACGAAGAAACTGAATCCTTTGAATTACAAAGAAAACCCAAGACAGAAATAGCCGAAGAAGTAAGCCAATATAAATGTATTTTATGTTACGATGAAAATGTTTTTGGATTTCTAGAAACAGGAAACTATTTCACAAGAAACTGTATCAGAACAAGTTGTTCAGCAACCACCACCTGTCATTCAAGAAGAAAAACCAACACCTCTTCAACAACAGCAGCAACCCGAACAGAAACCCGTCGAAGAAGAGAAACCAACACCGGTTGAAGAAGAGACACCGAAGCCGGTCGCAGAAGAAAAACCAAAGCCGGTCGAAGAAGAGAAACCAAAACCGGTTGAAGAAGAGAAACCCAAACCTGTCGAAGAAGAGAAACCCAAACCGGTTGAAGAAGAGAAACCAAAACCTGTCGAAGAAGAGAAACCAAAACCGGTTGAAGAAGAGAAACCCAAGCCGGTTGAAGAAGAGAAACCCAAACCGGTCGAAGAAGAGAAACCCAAGCCGATTGAAGAAGAGAAACCAAAACCGGCTGAAGAAGAGAAACCCAAACCTGTCGAAGAAGAGAAACCAAAACCGGTTGAAGAAGAGAAACCAAAACCGGTTGAAGAAGAGAAACCCAAACCTGTCGAAGAAGAGAAACCAAAACCGGCTGAAGAAGAGAAACCAAAACCTGTCGAAGAAGAGAAACCAAAACCGGTTGAAGAAGAGAAACCCAAACCGGTTGAAGAAGAGAAACCCAAACCGGTTGAAGAAGAAAAACCAAAACCAGTTGAAGAAGACAAACCAAAACCAGTTGAAGAAGAAAAACTCAAAGCTGTTGAAGAAGAGAAACCCAAACCGGTTGAAGAAGAGAAACCAAAACCGGTTGAAGAAGAAAAACCAAAACCTGTCGAAGAAGAGAAACCCAAACCGGTTGAAGAAGAAAAACCAAAACCAGTTGAAGAAGAAAAACCAAAACCAGTTGAAGAAGAAAAACTCAAAGCTGTTGAAGAAGAGAAACCCAAACCGATTGAAGCAGAGAAACCAAAACCGGTTGAAGAAGAAAAACCAAAACCTGTCGAAGAAGAGAAACCGAAACCGGTTGAAGAAGAAAAACCAAAACCAGTTGAAGAAGAAAAACTTAAACCTGTTGAAGAAGAGAAACCCAAGCCGGTTGAAGAAGATAAACCCAAACCGGTCGAAGAAGAAAAACGGAAACCTGTTGAAGAAGAGAAACCAAAACCTGTCGAAGAAGAGAAACCCAAACCGGTTGAAGAAGAAAAGCTTAAACCTGTTGAAGAAGAGAAACCCAAGCCGGTTGAAGAAGAGAAACCCAAACCGGTCGAAGAAGAAAAACGGAAACCTGTTGAAGAAGAGAAACCAAAACCTGTCGAAGAAGAGAAACCAAAACCGGTTGAAGAACAAGCGCAACCTGAACCAACTCCTGTACCGGAGGAAAAACCAACACCAGAGGTAAGTTTATCATGTTGTTAGTGCTACGTTTAAATGAGATTAATCTTTTTCCAGGAATGCTGGAGATAGAAAGGTTGAGTGGAAGTTTGAAAATTGAATGGAATACAACTGTCTAATTTGACAAAAAGAAACCGGATGCAATTTTAGCTTATCCTTGACGATATACAATCTTTCTCATGAAAACAAAAAAGTTGCATTCTTCAAAAATCTGCGAGAGAGATATATTTAGAAGAAAAACTTTACATAAAAAAAATTATCTGTCTTAGCTTATTCTGAATATCATTAATTTAGACTAACATTCATCTGATAACAAATAGAGTTTCTTCACTTTCAAATTGCAAATTTTCTATTGTTTTTTACATTGTCTTTGTTCAAGTTAGAGAAACTTTCATCACCAGTAAGGCTACGACAATTTCAACAGCAACCAACTATGATTGAAGTAGAGGAAAATTTTTAACAGCCAGCTTGAGCCAAACAAATTACTATTTAGGTGTTACCAGTATTTGCAAATTTCACATTTTACTGTTCTTTTTAGAAACCACTTTCTGAGCCAGTGCCAGAAACACAAGAACCCGTTCCTCTCGAAGAAATCCCAGAGGCCAAAGAAACCGTTCCCGAACTCAAGGCTCAAGAACAAAAGCCACAACCCAAATTCATCAAAGATCTTAAATCAAATAAAACTACTCTTCTCGAAGGTGACCAACTCATTATTGATGGAGAACTTGACTCAGTACCAACAAAAGTTCAATTACAAATAAACGGCCAACCTGTGCCGGACGATCGTGTAAAGACTGATGTTAAAGACAAAAAGATTAAATTTACATTAGACAACATTCAATTAGATGAATCAGGAGATTTTACTGTTAAAGCCAATGATGAAGTTGAAAGCAAACCTGTTTCGATCACCGTTAATGCAGATATCCCGAAATTTGTTAAGAACTTAACAATTAACAAAAAACAATTCAATGCTGGAGAAACATTAAATTTTGAATGCACACTGAACAAACCATACGACCAAATAGTCTGGCTTAAAGATGGACAACCCATTGAGCAAAATGAACACATACAATTTACAAAAGATGGACCCAAACTTAAGCTTACTATCAAAGATGCACAACCAGAAGAGCATACTGGCACTTATTCACTTAAAGTAAAAGATGTCGAAAGTGATAAACTGTCTGTTACTGTTACAAAGAAAATACCAAAATTCATTAAAGAGCTAAAACCAAACAAAACCACACTTCTTGAAGGAGAACAATTAACACTTGAATGTGAACTAGACACAACACCAACTTCCATTCAGCTTCAAATTAATGGAGAAAAGGTACCTGATGATCGTGTCAAG